CTGAAACCCTCTCCTTACCTCGAGAGAGTGAAGTCCTTGGTCCCCTGGAAACTTCAGAGAGTTCAGATCTTCCGGGCGCCCAAACAACGAAGGCTGCCGAATGAGGTGTCTCAAGAAGGCACTCAACACCGTGGTGCAGCCCTTCTGCACAACGATGACACAGTCGTGCTGGAGGCTGAGAAGATCAGTTCCATAATACAGGCGCCAACCGGCAAGTTCGGCAAGCCCGTCAGGATCGCCATCTTCTTCTACGGCGACGCACCCGTCACCAGCTTGAATGAGCAGGATAACGAGCTCCCCGAGCAACCCAAGCCGAAGCCGGAGGCTCCTGGTGGCGATCCACAGGATCAAATGAGACCACATCAGCCTGGATACCGTGACATCTCCTTTCCAGGAGTGGAGCTGCCAGCCTGGCTAAAGCAAGTGCTTCGAAGAGCACATTGCAACTTGGGGCATCCCCCGAAAGAAACGCTTGTCAGGCACCTCGCCGCCGCGAAGGCATCGGAGCTTGCACTCTCAGGAGCTCGACATCTACGATGTGAGATTTGCTTGAGAGTAAACCCTCCAAGACAACCGAGAGTGTCCAAGGCTTTTCAAGCCAGGCGGTTCAACGACAGGCTTTCCATGGACATTATTTACCTCAAGGACGTTCGCGGGGGCACTCACATGTTTTTGAACCTGGTAGATGACGCAACCTGCTACCAGGCAGCCTCAAGATTGATGTCACGCTCCGAGGAGAATGTTGTGGCGAACCTCATCAACGGTTGGTTTTGCTACTTCGGACCACCAGACGAACTGACCATCGACGCCGAGGGAGCTTTTCGGGGCATGAGATTCGAAGCTTTACACGCTCAGTTGAACGTGGATGTGAGATGTATACCGCCTGACTCCCATTGGCAACTGGGAAAGGCTGAAAGGCACGGCCAGGCACTTCGCTACAACGCCACCCGTCTCATCAACCAGTTCGCAGCCTTGACCGTGGCAGAGGTCAACATTTGCGTAGCCTCAGCAGTTCAGGCCAAGAATCGGCTGATGCGCCGAAGTGGATCCAGCCCCAATCAATGGGTCTATGGCCGGGATCCCAAACTGCCGGGAGCCCTGCTGAGTGACGGCGGGAGCATTGAAAGTGCCCAGCTTATCAGCGACTCAGAGAAACTCATGCAGATAGAGAGCCTGCGTACTCAGTCGATGATCAACCATCATGAGTACGAAGCGAGCCAAGCTTTACGAACGGCCCTTTTGAGAAAAAGCAGACCTTACCGTGGCGAGTTCTACCCCGGACAGAAGGTGGCTTACTATCGTAAGCGAACCGCCACCGGTGACGGAGAAGGGACGCTGGAGGGATACAGGCAAGGCGTGGTGCTTTCTCTCGACCGCAACCCCAGCTCCAACATCGCTGCTAATCTCTGGATTCGTAATTCCCGCGGCCGTTTGGTGCAGGCCTCTCCTGAACAGTGCCGGCCCATCTTTGGTGAAGAAGAATGGTGGACTCCGGACCCTCAGGACCTGGAGGTTCTTAGAAAATTTGACAAGGATTTGCAGTTGCACCCCAGGGCTTTTCGACATGAAGACCGTCCAGGTCCCGCAGCAGATCGCCGCTTGGCCGAGGATGCAGCTGCAGAAGATGCGCGATCTGCGGAGCCCCGTGCCGAGGAACCTCTGCAAGCTCAACCGGGCACTCCCGTGGTGCTTGAGGACGAGGCCGAGCAAGCCCCAAAACCGGCTCCGTTGACCTTGGACCCGGCAGGTCGACCCGTGCTGGAGTCTCCCATGTTCAGTCCGATGATGTTTTTACCACCGACGCCCAGGTCTTCGCCAGGGACACCGAGAGCGAGGGCAAGGTCAAGATCCGCACCTCGCCAGGAAGCTGAGCGTTTACCCGAACAGGATCCGACGTCTTCAAACCCTGCACCTTCTGGTCCCTTGACGGCGCCCGAGGGCGAGGTCTTTCAGAGAATGACGTCAGGTTCAGATAGAACAAACTTACCCGGACAGGATCCGTCTTCAAACCGTGCACCTTCTGGTCCCTCCGGCGTTAGCCGTAGAACTTCAGTCGCATCTACCAGGGGGGTGTCTCGTCAAGTTTCAGGCATTGAGCCACTGGAAAAGATCTCAGAGGGCGAGTCTCCAGGAGCACGCGGTTTGAAGAGGAGCCCAAGTGTTGCCGTTGGTGAATTGGACGTTGGTTCTGGTGCTCGTAAGTCGACTACAGTGCCCCATTCATCAACGGGTTCCATGCCTACACCTGCTGAGCCAGAGCTAAAGACATTTCTTCTGTTTTGTAAGGACTGCGGCGAGCAGTACCAAAGTTTTCCTGAGGAGTGCGGTCGATGTGGTGGAAGGTGTTCTGTGACATCCGCTGAGGACGTGGTCTCCTGGTTGGATGAGGTCAGGGAGCGAGAGGCCTTTGACAAGTTGCTGGGTGTCGTGAGAGACTATGTGCCCCCAGCGCAATCTCGACATGATCCCCACGACCAGGATGTGATCGACTACTACCAGTCACATGCCACCTCCCCCGAAGGAACCGCATGCTCAGCCCAACTTCAGTCTTCCCAACCTCATGAACTCCAAGCGTATGCACTACAACCTCACAACACCTCGGCCTCACACAGACTCGACGTCTTGCGGCGACACGCTCGAGGACAACATCTACGACAGGGCTGGGACGGCTCTCCTGAGGAGCTGCCCGGGATCTATCGGCAGCAGGCCTTCTTGACGGCTGCCTACGTCTACGGCGATGCGGAGGTCGAGGAAGGTGTCTGCGTGACGCCCATTGCCCCGAAAGCCTCTTCGTCTTCGACTACTTCCTTCACTACCAGCCACCACAAGGCTCAGTTGTCAGAGTCGCTAGCATCGTTGCTTCTCAAGCGAAAGGACTTCGACCACGACACTTGCCTCCAGCTGCTTCAGGTGGTCAACTTTCAAGGCGTGAGCCGAGACTGTCTGTCCTACAGCTACCCTGGAGCCGGCTCGTTGACCATGGGCTACTACAGTCATGGCCGGCAGCATGGACTTACGAAGGCCACGGAGAGGCATCGCCTTCTGACAAAGTACCTCAATGCCTACTTGAGGTGCCACGGCCTTCGAGGGAAGACAAGCAGCATTTTCGTGGGCCGAAATATCCGGAGTCGGTACCACAAAGATGTTCACAACTCCAAGGAGTCGGTGAACTGGAGCATCGCTCTGGGAGAGCACGTTGGCGGCCGTTTGTGGGTCGAGGCCGACTATGACGCAGCCAACCCCCAGGACTACGTGAAGCGCTCCATCAAGGGCAAAAGGGTGTCCGGCAAGTATGTCGACAACTACAGGAAGTTGGTCGCCTTTAACCCGGATGCCTACCATGGTACTGAGGAGTACGTGGGCGACCGGTATGTCATCACTGCCTACAGTACCAGACTGGCCGACGAGGCTCCGCCCGATGCCGTGAAGGTGCTGACCAACCTGGGCTTCAAGCCCAAGAATAAGCAGGTCGCCTTCGTGACCACTTCGCAGCCTTCGGAGCCTCCGCAGAACGAGAAGGTCCTCTCACCACTTTGGGAGGTGTTTCCTACGAAGGAGCAGACCGCTGCAGGCCAGGAAGCGGAGAAGGTCATAGCCATGGAATCTTCTTCGGACGAGGACGGCTGCGACGGTAGCACCGGCTATGGCGCTCGGCGAGCAGCCCAGCAGGCCAGGAAAAAGGAAGTCCATTGGCAATCTATGACCGAGGATGAGGTCGGCCCCTTCATCGAGGCATTGCGCAAGGAGTGGAGCGAATGGCAAAAGTGGGCAAGCTGTTCTCCTGTTTACCTTCAAGAAGGCTCGGTGGCACCCCACTTGATTCTTCGCTCAAGGGTGTGCTACAGATGGAAACCTACGCCCACCGGCCAAAAAGCCAGGCGAGGGTCGTGGTGGCGGGGTTCCGTGACCCGCATTTGCCATTGCTGACCAGGGATGCGCCGGTGTTGGCACGCACATCCTTACATCTGATCTTGCAGTGGTCAGTAACGTTCCGAGCCAAACTCTGGAATGCGGATGCGAAGTCGGCATTTCTACAGGGAGATCCTGATTCAGAACGTCCGGAGCCCATCTTCATGAAACCTCCTCAAGATCCCTTGGCTCAGGAGGCAGTTCCGGAATGGAAGGCCAAGACCTTGCTGTATCGCTTGTCGGCCCCGGTATATGGGCAATCGAATGCCCCGAGACAATGGTACAACCATTTCTCGCGAGTTCTACGGGACTTGCAGTGGGAATCCCACAGCCTCGATCCGTGCCTTTTCCTGTTCCGCACGGACAACAAGGTCGTAGCCATACTGGGCCTGCACGTCGACGACCTGTTGAGTTGTGCCCTTCCAGGCTACGAAGAGGTCCTGAACAAGGTTGAGGCCCGATTTACCTGGGGTTCGCCGTGGACCAGCGAGGACTTCACCTTCGTCGGTCGACGCATCAAACAGTGGCCAGACGGCTCCATCACGGTCGACCAGGCGTCCTACGTCGAGGAGGTCCCCTCCACCAAGGTGAAATTGGACGACGCCGAGTTCCTCAGCAAGTACCCCGAGCTGGTCACGGAGTTTAGGTCCGGCATCGGATCGTTGCAGTGGCTGGCCTCTACGACAAGAGGCGACATTGCCAGCGACGTGAGCCTGATACAGAGGCCTCCGTCACAACTTACGGTGGCGGATCTCAAGGAGGTGAATGCGGTGCTGAGGTATGTCCGCGCGACGGCCGGGGCGTCGATCAAGATCACGCCGATCGCGGTGGAGGAGCTCATCTTCATCGCCTACGGTGACTCTGGCTTCGCCAATGCTCCGGGCAGCAAGTCACAGGGCGGTTTAGTGATAACCGCCACGGACAAGCAGGCCAAGGTCCAGGAGCGCCCAGCGTCCTTGCTGGAGTGGAAAAGCTATCGCCACCAGCGAATCTTGCGAAGCACCCTGGCGGCCGAAGCGGCAGCTCTTGATCGAACACATGATCATGCACATTTTCTTGCGATGACTTTCAGTGAAATGTGCGATGCCGCCTTCATTTCGACCCTCAACGACCGGCCGCTCTTCGAGGTGATCCCGGTGACGGACGCGAGG